AAAAATAATTTCCATGTCAAGAAAGTTTGTCGTAAAACTGTTGAAATATAAGACTATGAAAAATACGCAACGAGAAAGACTACAAATCCCAGAATCCCGGTCCCGCATGCTGGCTCTTGGAACCGACTAACTCCCCTTTTATTTATGTACAGCTCTCAACATGCCCAGACTTGTAGTGATTTTCACCTCTTTTAATACTTTTCGCCTCATTCTGAAAGAAAGAAGTGAAATGTGCCAACATGACGGCTGTCTTGGTGTGTTTTGCGAGACAGGAGATGTAGTTCATTGAGCGGTTTCACACAAAAAAAAGTGTTGCTTCACAGTTTTACGACACATTTTTATTTTTTTGACTTGCAAAATTATCTTTTAAATTGACAAACATCATATGTGTAATTCGTGGCACAATTCAAACAGGATCGAAAGATAATCTTTCTCTCCCCATTGACTTCAATACATAATTTGTCCAAAATAAGGTCCCATGGAGGTCCCCCAGAAAGGGAGGGACTTCGCCACTCTATGGGACTACGGCGGAGAGAGTCAGCAGCTTCAGGTTCCTTGGTGTCCACATCACTGAACTGCTGAAACAACATCTGTTAAACACCTGAACTGTTGAAACAACATCCATAACATTCATCTGCTACTTAGTAATTATTTATCTATTTATCTAATATATCATTCCAATAGAGTGCCACAGTGACGCGTAAAAAAAACAAAACCCTACTTTTAAAATGTTCTAATCATAAATCTATCGATCATAAATCTATTGATTAGATTTATGATTCGAAAGTAGCGTAGACATGTGGAGATTATCCGACTGAACAAAACGTGATCCGTCTCTCAAATGTGTGTCAACCACATATTTACTATTTACTTGCATTATATTTTTTCTGTTTATCTGTGTTATTGTGTTGCACTGTTGGAGAAGCCTGTGACCTAAGAATTTCATCGCCATAACTACACTGTAGCTATGTTCGTATGACAAAATAAAGAACCTTGAACCTTGAACCACAGGGAGTGGAGTATGAGCCCATTACAGGTATCCACTCAATGTGGTGTATGAATGCCCTTAAAGTCAACTCACACTGGGCTCCGGTGCCGGCCAATTACACTGATAACAGTATTCATATTTATTCACACATGCAAACACACACTGAGAGGATGGCTTCTCATTCAAAACGTGAATAACAGTAATCCCTCTCATCATACAAGCACTAAAGAAAAGACACACACATGCACCTATAGAAGAAGGGGGAAGTGCTCCTCATCTGAATTGCAGACGTTTTTTGTGGCCTCCCTGTCTGCCAGCACCATGATGATGAGTTGTCCTCGTTAGCTTGGAGAATTTTAGCCGTAATTATCTGGTAATGGCACTTAGCCCATCAACTCCCCCTCTGGTGTGTTCCTGTGAAAACACACACACAAGCACACACAACATACACCCACATGTGAAGAGACAAACACACATGCTGGCATGCGGCTACACAGACAGACACAAAATCCAGACGGGCACACACACAGATGGACGTAAATCCATAAATACAGACAAAGAAACGCACTCTAGGACAAACAGAACCACAAACATAGACAGGCAAATATTAATAGCCATACACACAGCCATACAGAGAATTCACGCTGACAGACACAGACAGACACACACAACCAAACACACATACACTGTGCCATATCCCTGCTTCTCCATCTGCCCCCGTGGCTAATATGTGCAACTTATTATCCAGGAGATAATAGGAACTGTCATGCATGAGGCAGACAAGGGAGGGAGGGAGGCAGAGGGGTATCTGTGTGTTCACTGCATTTTTAAACAGAAAGGGACTTTATTGCAATAACTTCATGAGGCCAGATGTGAACCGATTGGCTTCCTTTACAAAGTCGAAACATCTTATCAAAAAGGTGCTACTGTGGGAAAGTGTTACAAGGGAGAAGCGTAAAGTGCTGATAGAGGTAAAAAGAAATGGACCAAGAGAGAGACAGAAGGTGAGATGGAAAATGTAGGGAATGGGCTGATGCAAATGAAAATAACTGCAAATGGTGGAGGGAGTCTTAATTTGCTTTTAACAATCACATTTTATTGCAATGGCTGTGAAACACTTCCATTGTTAATCCTGTGAAACTGTTCCCACACAGGAGCGCCATAAACCTGCATTGCCTATGCAAGGCTCTCAGAGGCGTCACAAAGGCACAACAGAAGGTAATGAGAGAGAGGAAGGTATAATGAGACGGGGAAAGACAATAATGGAGAATGATTAAAGGGAATTACAACAGCAAACATAAGCAAAGCCTCTGCTTTATGTCAATTTACAGAAAGTACTGTGCCCTGAAAACAAAATGGAGGATTAATGTTTCTTGGATGATAGAGCCAAGCAGATTGGCAGCCTGTTTGTGTTTCAATGTGTTGATGCACTCAAAGTTTTAATGGCGATAACATTAGTGCAGTGGGGACTCTGGCCAGCAGGGGCAGCAGGGCATGACACAGTGTGAGGATAGCTTTGTTCAAATACTAATTAAATTCAATGCAGGTTGGTTAGTTTACAAGGATTAAGCATTTCACATGTCATTTGCATACTGAATACTCCTGATTTGTAAGAGTGCTGATGATGTACGCTGTATTGGCACAAGGACATAGACACACTTAAAGCTGAAAAACATAATTGCGGGTGGTAAAACACTCAACAGTGAATAAAAGATGTTTGTTAAATTGATGGAAAACATTTTCGGCGAACATTTTTGTTTACAGAAACAGCTGCCTATTTACACATCCAGCAGACATGAAGGAACAATAGAATTAATTTTGAGTCATGTTTCTGGCCCCATTACAAATGTGTAAGTTAAATATTAATTTAGCTCTGATTTATTTCCCGCAATTCCTGATGGGAGAAAGCTTGTTGGATGTTATACTATCTACTACATTCAGCTGTCATTCACACATTTTGTTGTTTAGGCCTTTTCAACTGGGCTTTAGGCTGTAGTTCATGTGGCAAGGCTGTACTTTTATTGTATATATTATTACCACAATAAAGTAGATTAAAGTGATGTGAATTCATGAAACCCTTTTAAACTCTGAAGAACAAATTAAAGAACAAGGATTCTCTAGGAGAAGCACACATTTGGGTTAGCTATATTTATATAAATAGAGTTGCCGTGTCAGGGTCCTTAAATATTTTATTCATGATTAAGCGACGGTTCAAAGTGAATATTTTCTGCACTCTCCCACCTGGATGCCCCCTCGAACTCTAACTAAATATGAACTATTAGAGTCCGACAGTCATCAGAGGAGAGGTAATAGTTTGAGGGAAAAGGTTGTGGAGTGTGGCTGAATTCCAATACTGTGAAAATGGATGCTGTAGGTGTCTTCCTCTTTCTGGTCATTGCTGGAATTGGACACAGCATATAAGGATTGGGCTGAGTTAAAAAGACATCCCTGAAAATGTATATAATAACGACTTCTGGAAAAGTGGGTGCAATGGTAGAAACTACCAACAGAGAACCTTCCGTTTAGTTCTGTACTGCCCGACTTACTTACTTTGATATAGAATACATTTGATTTAAAAAGGACTGAGGGCAAACTGGCACATTTACTCAGGTGCTGGCCCACAGGGTCATATTAATAGAATGCACCAGTACCAATTTAAAAACCCATTGCATGTCAGTAATAAATTCATATCACTACCACTCTAATGCTTTAGAAGAAATCAAACTCCACCTAACATATAGCCAGAGGGCGTAATGAAAGGATTGCAGTTCTTCACCAAAGTCAACCATCATCTAATTGACATAAGGTGACAACGATATGTGTTTGAAATCAGAGTTCTCAAGGCAACAACTTAACCAGGAACAAAGCCAATAGAGAGGCCATCAACGGCGTTTATGATTTCTGGTTCTGGGACATAAGGTTGGAGGTATTTCTCGGCTGTAACAGACCTCTGTATTGACTTGTTTCTGTTCGGGTTGATTGCCCTGCAGAGAACTCTGATTTCAAACACCTGTCCTTTACTATACATGTGATAACTGTTGAATTTGGAATTTCTAACACTTTTATATCAACCCCCTAAGAACTGCCTGTAAACTTAACTGGATACACTTTACCAATGCAAGTTGTAATGGAAGAGGCAGATGCAGGATGAGATTCAAAGGGAAGCCAGAAGTGTATCATAGAACACCATAACCCCTTTGATCCGGCACCAATACCTCACTTATCATGAATCTTCAATGAAACCCTTGACTTCTGTAATGCCCGGGGAGATGACAGCGCAGGGCACTGGTTGAGTTGAATCTTCAATGAAGAGCAACAGCAACTCTGCAACAATGGGCAGGCGAAAGAGCGCCTGTATCCTCAGCAATATGAAAAACAGTTTATATTATTGCACTTCCTGTGTTGGACTATAAAATAAAGTTTTGACATAATACCAACTTAAAAAGAAAGTTTGATTTGGCGCTGGTATCACTCGATGATGATCTCCATGATGCATCCCATGGAGATTTTGCTTTAAATTGTTTAAAGATAGAGGGGGTTATTAACTCTACATATTCTAAATCCATATGGGAAAAGCGTAATGGCTGGCAACAACCAGAAACACATTTTAAGTGGGCGGGTTGGGGAGCTTTGCCATGTTACAAAGCGCCAACCTATTTACTTTAATGGTCAACTTCATGACCTCATGTTATCTAAAGGGCAGAAAGATAATCTATATATACATTTAGTCATGGCTCAAGGAATTCATTCATACTTTGTTTCTTGAATTACAACGTAGAAATGCTAAAGGGACTGCGCTTTAATGGCACAACTCTACCTAAAGTGCTCTTGTATTTGGCCTTGTAATGATTAACAATATTACATTAACTATAACATATCTTTGTTGCATACTTAAGGCAGTTTGCAGATGCTTACACTCTTGCTAAGAAGATTTAAGTCAATCAGAAAGACTGAGATCCAGACAAGACAAGAATGCAGAGTCCAGATGAAACACAGAGACAAATAGGTTGGACAGTTTTTATAAATTTAATATATCAATATATAGAGATATTTATCAACAGCTTGATTTCATAGAAACGTGAGTGAGACCATTTTGGCATACAGTACAGATATTCCATGTAAGTACAGAAGTTGCTAAGTTTTTAACTCCCCCTACCCCGTCCCTCACCAACCCGCCAGTTAACCCCCCCCGCCCGCAGACACAAAACACAGAAAAACAGAAAGAGTAAAAGTATACAGGAGCACAAAACAAGGCACCAATAAATTAAAAAGATAACCTCTTTTTTTAAAACACACAACAACAAAATCTATTTAACAGAATTAAATACAGTATGAACACTAAAGATCTGCAATGCTGTTAAAAAGCAACAAACGGAACAGATAGGAGAGGAAGTAAAGTAAAAACACTTTGGCAGATTATTAATTTTTAGTTACAATCAAGTAGTAAATAAATCCAGTGCTCTTGTGTACAAATAAATTCATATATAGTCTACACTCCTTTAACCCCAGAGGTTTATGTACATCTTTTTTTACAGATACATTTAAAACATTATCAAAAAGTTTTTGCTGTATGAAAACGTATTTACAAGTCATGATTCAAAACCATTGGACTGTACCATTGAACCCCCCCTCCCTTTTATTTCCTCCCCTCCTAAGAACGTTATCTCTTTACACAGTGCAGAAGGCTTCTTGAAAAGTTTTGTGCAACAAACAGCGTAAAAAAATGCCTGTCGTATGGCTGTGGAATGGACGGAACCCCAATGGTATTTGAGATTTCCTTGCAGGCAATGACACATCAGCGACATTTTGAGAAAATCCAGGGAGACAGTTTTTCCAAAAATATTGGAGCCAATAGTTTCTTATTGGCTGTGATTTCTCCCAACTCAATCACTGTTGAAGGAAAATTTCCAAATCTGTAACAATACTGTTATTTATAAAAGGTGTTGCCGGTGTACAGTATATCATCCCAACCCATAAAAAGATTTACACACACAGACTTCACAACTTCCCCCATTGCTGCCTTCTTCATTTTAAACTGACCGGTACAAAAAGTAGGCGACTGAACATTGCCCTTCAAGTAATCCATTATTCAGAAGACCAAATATGAAACTGAGAATGGTTTGGCAAGGAAAGAAAGGAGAGAGAGAGCAACAACTACAACGCACAAATATCCCCAAAAACACATGATAAGAGGAACCAGTTGAAGGAAAGTCACTGGGTCAACAAGAGATACATGCCAGCCAAGTAGAGTCAATGAGGGCTCCTTCCACAGTCCAAACTGTAGCTGGTCGGTGAATGGTGGGCTGCTTCTCGTGGCTTGAGTTTCTTTACCGGCTCTCGGGGTTTCCTCATTATTTCAGGGGTTCCATTTTATTACTCCGGAGTTTTATCCCATTAGTCCAGTGAGTGTGTGTGCCTGTCTACCCAAAGACTGATAGCCCTTGCCAAAGGAAAGATGACGATGACTTAAATGAAGATGGGAGGGCAAGAGAATGAGCGAGCACAGAGACAGCAGTGCTGATCTCTAAACTACAATTCAGTAGTAAGTTACCAACCACAGATTACTTTTGAAAGTGCATTAAGAAGTGAAGTGGTTGAGAGATGTGAGTTATGTTAGAAAGCAATGAAAGCATCCTGGTTCAATGCAGCACAGGTCAGATTCTCTGCTAGGAAAGGACTGGAAGCGACCAATTAGAAGAGCGGAAGAGAGGGACATGCAACAGGACAGTTCAAAACAGGGAGCACAAATCAGAAACACTGTAATTAATGCAGACACTTATATTGAATTATGGGTTATCACAGCTGTTAGAGAGTGCTATACTGTTGTGCTATGTTATTGTATCGTAATTTCAATAAAATAAACCAGATGCAACCTTGACATCGTTTATTTGTGATAGGAACCTGCTTATTATGCATTAGGGTGTTAGAAATGTCAACATATTGTATGACAGCATGAGTAAAAACCAATAGATGGATAGGCCTAACGGGCACATTTTTTGTGTGTTTTACCCTCTGAAAAGTGTCTTAATATTGAGAACAGGATGTCGCACCAGCTGTTTGTACATTCATCACTAAGTTTGTGTGTAAAATATTTACAACTACATTGATTTTCATCATTAAAACTTGAGGAATATGTTAGCTATTCGAAACGTAACTAATGTGTGGAATTATTTAAGAATCATCTTCAGTATTGACCAAACAAAACCAACGAACAGTGTAAACAGAAAGCATCGCAAGAAAACTAAACGGTTTTATGGGGTCAAGATAAATGTTACATTTAACTGTTGATCATAAAGAGATTTATGTTTATTGTCTATGAGAGGAAATATCTGAATACACAAACTTGAAAGTTGTTGGTCATTTTGTCTCATTATATCGTTAGCAGAATGATTTTTATTCAAGGTAATACAAATTTCCCATTAAATGCCTAATAAACAGTTTTTTTTATCTAGGGTCAATTATACCAATTGTTAAATAATAAGCAAACACTTTTCTCTGTCAGCTGGTTCAGATCCCATTTGCGTGTTAGTTTGAACCTACAAACTGTTGGAGCAGCCGGCTTTTGATCTTTATATTAAGACACTTTTAAATGTGTGTACCTTACATGTTTAAGACTACATTTAAAAGTTACTAACCTGGCTCAATAACTTAGTGCTATGTTATACATGCAGCGCTGCAGCACTGGGTTAACCATGATAATTCCAAGTAAAAAGATTACCCAAAAACTGACTCGTAGCTACACAGCATTATACCGGTACTACAATTAAAAATATAAATAAACAAAAACTGCACTATTTATTCTTCAACACCTTCAGCATGAGCATGAGCTCTGTGAGATCCTGCTAACTGCTGCCTTGTTTATGAAACTGACTGAGTGTAATCCTACAACATTTTTCCTTACAATTTGAATCAAGAATTTCAAGATAGCATACTTTCAAACCATGTCCTCTACTACCGTTTTAATAAAAATCTCCTACATGTTGGATGACAAAGGTCCCTTATGGACTTTATCAGCGTCCTTCAGGAGACGGCTGCTCTCAAGGTGTCCGCGCTGTGGACCAGCCAATCTGTCTTCACACTGTAGCAATAATAACTTTCCTACAATGCCACGCTCAGTCACCTCAATAAGTAAGCTATTTATTCTCCAAACTGCAAACCCTCCGTATGGAACTCTATGAGACCTGCAGCAAACACGGACATGAAGGAAACGATGAGGAGTGCAGAGCTGGCTGAGCACAGGGTTCAATCTGGCAGGGGGTTTGTGATGTCTTATATTCACAGACATCTGATCTGTTTCATCTTTCTTGACATCTTACATCATCTGTCCTTTAGGACTTTAAATGTGAAATTGTAAGGATAAACAACAATTTCCATTGCGATAATTACCCAAAAAAACATTATAAAATGACTTCAGTTTAAACAAAGATACAGTTGTGTCCATCTAAACAGTTCCACTACTAAACCAGTCAGGTTTCATGTTAGGCTGAGTCACAGTCTTCCCCACTGTGTAATGCATTTTATTTTGTTAAGACGAAGGGAGATGGCCCCTTGCTTGTGCTCAATCATCCTTCGTTATAGACGTAGAGGAGTGCAGTGCTGGCGATTACTATAATTTACCTGTCTAGCGTGCCACTTTTCACACATAGGCCGTACAAATCCCCCACTGTGCATCATAAACTGAGAGGAGAGAGTGCCATCCTTCTGAGGGATGTGAGCTGGGATGACGTAACACAACATCAGCAGAAATCCGACAAAATAAATAGCCCACTATTCATCTTCCAAACACAAACCTGTTCGCACATGGTTTAGTCACTTCCTGCCCACCTTCTCTGTCTGTTTCTCTCTTCCTCCCCTGTGGTTACCCACACTGAGAAAACACTTCCAGAAATCAGTGAGAATCCCGAATAATAATAACTACCATTAATCATCCTTTTGTTTGTATGCACATGCTGTCTATTGTAAGATGAAGACATATGCTATGTCTATACACAACCTAAATTGGAAGACTTTGATGTTTGCATTCTATAATTGTTTTTGCTTGTTATTATAAAAGACAGGATGTGAGAAACAAAGCTAAATTGCAACATTGTTGAAATTACTGAAGTTATTCTTAAACTTCTGTACCCTATATAAAAGTGTTCTTAACACATACTAGATGCCTTTTATTAAGACTAAATGATATCCAAAATAGGAATGTTGTTCATTTGCCATAAGTACTTGTAACAGCGATCATATTAACTTGTCACAACGGCCTCTAGATATTCACAGTGACAACACATTATGAGCAATTATTGCAATAGTCACTGGGCATGAACTCCATCTGGTTCAATGGGCTAGAAGCATGTCTGTGGCTAGCCAATGGAAGATCAGCTCTTAATGCTGGTTTACACGCTTCTTCTCTATCTAGCTTTCAAATCAAATCAGTGCTTGGCTCAGTCAGCCTTGGAGTAATACTCATCTGCTCATACAAATCAGGGAAACTCACAACCACACTGAACAGTCAGGGACAGCGGAAAGTGATTTATTTCAAGTGTGGGCTCTTTATCCATGGCATGTCATCCAGAAAATGTTGTTAATCCAGAGAGATAAACCAAAGTGTTTAGTAAAAGTGATTTTTTTTGGGAGCCATACACCAAAAGTTATAAGAATGATGAAGTTTTTAAGACTATTGGGGCCAGAAAACAAATCAAAAATAGACAAAAACATATTTTGCAGTTGTCTAATGGCAATAATATTTCTGTCAATTAATCAGTTAGCTGCTTGCTCTTCCTCTCATTTCATAACTTTTACTTCATTTCTACAGGATTCCAATACAGCATGTGGCACTCATAGAACTCTCTAACTCAAAGCATTAATGTTAATATTTCACAGTCACACAAAGGTGTTGTGACAATGTTTCCACAAACAAAAAGTCAGGAACACGTGTGAGACCTAACACCAGCCGATAATCAACAAACAATCCTGAGTTCTTTATCGACTGCACGCATACCTCTGATTCAAGAAGAGAGGATTACCCATAATCCTTTGCCTTCTCTGCCCTGTAGCTTTTTGCCTTGAGGAACTACCCTCTGATGGCACAAATCCTTCAATTGCCTTCCCAAATAAAAAAAATAAAAACTCTTTCACCCCGAAGCCACCTCCAAACATGCAGACAACCCCATCATTTTCTTCCTTCTCCTTTCCCCTTGGCTATATTTAGCTTCTCCTGCTCACATACAATATGTCAAGGGGGGAAGCTCAAAGGCTGGGTGTAAAAGGACGACATTCGCCTGTTTGAAACAAAAATCTGTCATGTCAACTCGAGAAGTAAAGGGAACTATGAAGAAAAAACGCCCTTTCCTATAACCGTATAACCGTGAAGCTATTCCAGTAGTACTCTAGCACTTAGCGATGCGGATTACATATTTACAAGAGCAAACTCATACAAATAAATTAAAACTGTGTAAAATGAAGTTTAAAAAATAATGCATGTCGGCTTTTCTCTCCCTGTGCGATGGCCTTCTATTTACAATGTGCACTGAGATAGCCAAATGAGGTTAGTTTGAAATAAAATCATCAAGCAGCATTTTGAACACCACTACAGCGAACAAGAGGCAGAGAAGAGAGAGGAGAGGAGCAGATGCTACAAACAGACTAGCACTAAGGGAAGTAGTAGTGGCTAGTAGTGGTAGTATTGTTACTCCAGTGGAGGAAACAGGAGAGGAAGGGGTATTTAAAAGATGTACATGTCATCCCTTGCTCCTACAAAAGGGCCGGCAAACTCCTTCTCTTTCTCCTCTGCGGTGTACTGGCCTCATTGTGGCGGTGTAGCTGTGGTGAGAGGAGGGGCCAGGAAGGCATTGGGAAGGGGGGGCAGGCTGCAGCCCCCCCCTCAGGGATAGCCATCATCCTCCAGACTGAGTGCCACGCGCTGCAAACAGCAGATAAAAAACGGTTACAGTAGGCTGGTAACGGAGAGAGGGAGAGAGAAAACATAATATCATGGTGGAAAGAGAAGAAAGAATGAAAGCAGGAGATAAAGAGAGATCAAAGATGGCACTCGGGAAAGAAATGGCAGGTTCCTAAAGAATCCAGTGTTCTGTTCCTCCTTACGGTCCTCATCTTTCCCTGACCTTCCTCTTCCCCTCTTTCCAACCCCCCCCCCCTTTATTCATTCCCTCCTTCACTGGCTGCTCCTATGCGAGGAATGCAGGATGCTTGCCTACGGCTGAAAAGGTCTGGCCCACATTATGCCAATCTCATTTTTCTCTGGCTGTCTGAGTTGCCACAGTGCCACAAAAGGAAAGGAAACGAGGAGAGAAAAGAAGAGGACAGGAGAGGAAAAAAAACAAAAACATTTGAAGGCAATAAAGAGATCCGTGCAGATGTAAATAAAAAAAGATGAGAGAGTTCGCTCGCTCTCTGCAGCCCTTCACATAGGGTGGTTGTTCATTCGACCTTGAATCTTAATATGACTTGTGCACCTGTTTCCTGTGTGTGAGTGTGTGTGTGTGTGTGTGTGTGTGTGTGTGTGTGTGTGTGTGTGTGTGTGTGTGTGTGTGTGTGTGTGTGTGTGTGTGTGTGTGTGTGTTTGTGAGTGTGTGTTCGCAGCCTGTCACCGTGCCAATGGTACACAGGATTCTTTGCTGCTTTTCTCTCTGAACGACACAAAGAAATCTGTGTTACCATGCCAACCGATCAAAGCGCTAGACTCCCACCCCCCTATAATCCCTTTTGGCTGTCCTTGCCTGCTTGCTTTCCTATACCTAAAGCAACACATATATTAAATAAATATCATGAGTGTCTGATACATTTAAGTGCAGTTTGGAGAAAATTAAAGCTGATGTTTTTTTTGGGTATTGAAGAAAATTCAGCTTCAGTCCTAATATGTTTTCTCAAAGACTGCCTTAGCATCAAATGGGAAATCAACAGGGTAGCCTGCAATTCATCAAATGATAAGAATCATGCTTTCTGCAACTACACTCAAGACAAAATATATTATTCTGAATTTTCCTTGATTCTGATTTGTGCTCTCCTTCCTTTATCTTCCATGTCCTTTTAAACTATAACGGGAAACAAAATCAACATTCAGGCAATGTTATGATGTTACTGTCCACTCTAAAAAGTTATCCGTCAGCTCCGTAAAAATAATCTTCTTTCTCAAAGACATCTGTACACTAAAAATATTTGTTGTCTTACGGATAAATCATCAACACTGTGGAGGCCCTCCTGTCATGCCTTTCTCTCATAACTGCACTGCATAGAGACATGAGTCATAATTAAATCCTCAGTGGCACTCTAATGCCTTTCTAAACCTTTGTTATCATTTTTAGCAGCTAACGTGACAAAGAAATATCCGCAGAATACCTCTCAAACAAGTATGCTCCCTTACGGCACATGTTTACAGTAATCTAGTGACCATGTTGTGAAACAATAACTTCTGAATCAGCTGCTTCCGTAATTTAAAGATGACACGTGCCAGTTTAGGAGTTTGTCAGGAAACGGGACCTCATAAGAAACACATCTGACCCAGTAACAGAACAAACACTTCAACCACCAGAAAAACACAATGCACAAGTAAATTGGATGGCAGGCTGGCAACGAAGATGTGAGGGGGATCAAATGATGTACTGTATGATTATGGTCATGAAGGTGGAATTAATGTGAACATGATGTACTTGTGAAGGGCTAACGTGTGTATGCTTGCTGTTTTTCAGTGATTTCTGTAAAAAATTACGTGTGAGATTGTGGGCGTGTGCGAGCCTGTTCCTTCTTTCCAGCAGGCTTACATGTACAACAAACGGGCTTTCAAAACCCACGCACAATGCTCCCATATCCCAAATATTTCAAACTCCATTTCTTCTCTCTGCAGCATCTCTCATTTGCCGCTCGAGAGCATCGGAGCCCCTGAGTACCAGTGGGAGTTGCTGTCTGTGCTGCCGCCCCCTAGAGGAAGCGCTATGAATGGCTGACTGTGGCTGCCACTCACTGCTGGATACACGTGGCCGACGGACTCGCTGTGGCGCCCGATGTGGATCTCGTCGTCATCGTCCTCCGTGGTTTTGCGATAGACAGGGTTGTCGAAGTTCATGCTCTTCGTGTTCTTGCGCCGCCAGTTGCGCCAGACCAGGTACCCTCCGGAGCAGAGCAAGCTGATGACCACTGTGGCAAGGATAGGGACTGCATGTGTTTAACACACACACAACAACAACACACGGCGGGAGCGTTAACACAGCCCAGGGGACACAGAGCGGCGCTTTAAGCACTAACACACACAAACACAAAAAAATGTTCAATTTTTGAAGTCTCATTATTATCGGTATTCTTTGATCTATTATCTAAGTCAATGGCTTATTTTCTAACTTTTGCTGCCATGAAATGTATTGAATTACACAGTGTTTTACGTCGAGGGTATGGACAGAGAAACCCTGTGTATACACGTGCCATTTAAAACTAATCTGGATGCTTTTTTTAGTGAAACTTACAAACAATGAGCCTTCATAGTGACTATAATATTCATTCAATTAAAAAAAAATTGCTCAATCATACAAAATGATCAAACACAAATATGCACATGCATAATTTGCAACAATGAATGTCTGCATGCACCATCACACACCATTTATCCAGCACACACTCAAACACAAATACATGCATAACCAATCGAAAGCATACAAATCATTTGAATTAAATCTTGTAGTATTCAGGACATACAGTAAAGCCAGTGATCAGATTGTTATTAAATAAAAGCCCTGCAAGGATGCTTAACAGTCATCACTGTTGGGGAAATATTTTCCAAGGCCCGTAACTTTGAACCAGTTTATCAGTTCATACTGTCCTGACTGAGCACCTTGGCTGCTGTGCTCTCAGTGTTCTGTCTCCCTGTTCCTGCCTGTTGGCGTCAGCTGATAGAGGTGTTATGATTCTATCTTGTTATGCACAATGTTGATTACTCTCTCTGAACTAGCTAAATACATGGGTCTGGGGTAGAGTTCTTCAGAATTGATTGTGGCATCTCAACCGTGTGGTCAACTCGTGGCCCGTGACATGAATTCTCCTGCCGAAGCTCCAAATAAACCGCCAGTGTTTGCCATCAAAGCTCCAGCTCTCCATCGTGTCTTTCTTTGAGTCCTGACTCCAATTGCTTCAGAAGTTTCCCCAACAATCACCGCATTATTCCTGTGCTACATTTAGCTATAATGTTTAATTCTGCACGAGTCTATTAAAAGAAAAAGTAAACGCTATCTTCAGACTGCCTGACTGGTGTTTTTTGACTGGGTTGTGAGAGGAGAATGGACACGGGAAGGAGAAGAGGGCATGTGAGAGAAACATGGGGATTGGAGGATTTGAGATAAGCTCTGTATCTCTCCTCTCATTACCATATCAGCATGACTGCCTAGTTGCCCTTTAGGACCTGCGTGTGTATACAGTGAGCATATGAGTTTATGTATGAGAGACCCACAGCCAAACGAAAGGTGTGTCAATGTGGAGAGATAAAACAAGTGTGTGTGTGTGGGTGTGTGTATGCCCACACATATCTGCATCCCCTGTGGTAGCCCAATCTAATTGCTCTTTTGTTGGATAGGCACTTGAGGTCCCTGTGTGACTGGGCTGGAAACCCCAGATCCTCCTTTGTTCTTTTCTAAATACTCACTGGTTAAAAAAAACATCAGCTTTTGCCTGATTTAAAAAAATGCATTCCAATTAGAGAGCAGCATAACTTTGGCTAAATACTGATTATCATGGCTGGGCTGTTTCCCCTTGTGGAGCTGTGGGTGGGCGTGGTGCATTAACGGATGTGAGCGGAAAACTGGGGTGCAGAAATCCGGCCCTTGTGGACTTCCAACAATAATTAACGTTTCAAAGCTGCCAAAAATATACAGAATGGGAGATTTATGGCTGCAATGAATGGCAGAAGGACAGAATGAGGGATAAAAGAGGAGAGGGTTCACAGTCTCGGGGGTTGTTTTAATTAGCTGAAATCTCAATGGTTGAGAATGAAAATAATTTAAAAAACGCTTTACGACATTTTAGAGCTCTCATAATTTCTCAAACTATTTAATATTAGGGATGAAAGAGATCTCAATTAGCGACATTTTCCCCTTCTAAAAGGTCATTTGCACATTAAGCTGATATCTCAGTCAAGAATTAAATATTTCCATAAAATGTGATTATCATTTAAATTCAAGCTAATAGAATAAATTGCTTCACAAAGCTTGTTTTATTGGACTAACTGGCATTCTCCAATTATGCCCACCTTATTTCACTGTATTGTATTATTGTGGCCTGATAATTTCTTTCTACCGCAGCAATAATGTAATTTCCCAGGTCAAAATTCCACAAAACACAATTTTATCTCATTACGTTTTTTTTTACTCGTATGCACAATCTGATTCCAGTAACCCATTCTCAGATCTCTGGGTCACGAAGAAGGTGATTGCACTGGATTGATTTCAGACTGAGCTACTGTCTGATCAGAGTGGAAACATGAACTTAATGTTATTAAAGCTGGTCAAATGTGATGACAACATTTGAACTGAATTCCTCATTTGCTCAAATCACATTAAAAATGACATAAAGTGCACATTACAAAGGCTAGTCATCGATGGCTGACGAGTTTTAAGGCTCATAATGGCTTTTTGTAGCCGAAAGCCAGGCAGCTATTATTGAGATAATACCAGAGTTCAGCACATTCTCTCAATAAGTGACCTATTATTTTGTGCCCAAACATCAGCTGAGGCTATTGTATGATTTGCATGTTCAAAGGACAAAACATGTTCCTGTTTAATATAAAATAAACTCATTTGAATCAGTCAGGTGGGTGTTTAAACTCTCAAACAAACGCAGTCATACACACATGCAGCCAGACACATCAAACACAACAATCCACACACAACCTGCAGGTCTTGAACGGCAAGCAGTCGAAGAAGCGAGGAGGGAGAAGCAGGCAAGCAGAAAGCAAAGGCAACACAGCGAGAAAGTAAAGAGTACTCACCGATAGGAATAACTATCCCCAGAACAGCTACTGTGATGTTGTTACCTATGAGGTAGTGATCACTCGCAGCTGAGAAGCAGAAGAAAGAGAAAAGAGAAAACAAACAAAAGTGAGCAAAAACTGTTGTTCCATCACCCCCTCCCCAAAGGCCTCTGCTAGAGAGAAACACAGGTTTCAAGCTTCAAGCAATAAAACACCTATTTGATATAAGGGCAGGGAATTTATTTGATTTCACTTTGGACGGCTGATTTTTACCCTTCTACTTTCTTTTAAAACAACATGTGTTAATAATTCAGTTGAATCATACAAGTATGCAATCTAAATGCAATGAGATGCATTTAATACGAGAGAAGACAAATGCAATGCAAGGAAGTAATGTATCAGAATTTGTATGAATATAATTCAAAAACAAGCAATACATCTTTTAACGATGCTTTGAAACATACAGGGTATTCCAGCTGACCTTGAGAGTGAATATGAACACATGACTTTGTGTTGCAAGTCACTCTTTTGTTCACAGCACGTCTTCATAAAGTGAGTGCCAAAGTAAACAATTATTCTAGACATGCTTTCCATCCCGACTCCCCTTCAACCACCCCCACCCCCCCACAGGCCTGCGTGCAGAGTGACGTTTAAACTGCTCCCAAGCCTCCTATTAGCAGCAGCCTAGCCATTAGCAAAAGTGTGATCAGATGGCTTTAATGAAGTCTAGTGAGGAAGATACAGAGGAGATCATGGCGCTGGGCCTGCATAATGATTGGTTGGTTATAGGTAGAGTCAATGTGTGTAGCTGAATGCACGGAGAAGGCACCGAGGTGACAGAAGACTCATATAATTAAGACACATTTTCTCTCATCAATGAAATAAATATATGAATAACTGAACACACACACACACACACACACACACACACACACACACACACACACACACACACACACACACACACACACACACACACACACACACACAGTGAGATAAAGAGGCACAGCAGGTGATAAGACTTCAGACTGAGCAGTCAAGCGTCTGAGTACTGAGTCAGCAGAATTGAATTTGGTCTTTTCTTAAAGTATGAGTGACGTCCAAAGGGTCCTAAGACTCTAGAAGGCGGATTAATAGAATCTTATTAAAGCAGCAGCTATGAAAGAAGTCGTTTCGGTAAGTGAAGGCAAATAGAAAGAAATTGAAAAAGAGAGGAAAAAAGTCTCAATTTCATTAACGCTACCATTATTGCTGGAGGGATTTTAAGTTCAAACAGAATTTGCTGTTTGCCTCAATGAGAACGTTCCTTTTCGAACCCTATATTTTGCTCCTTCAAATATGACTCTATTTTAATGAGTAACTTAGTTAAATATTGTATATCTCTGAATGTTTGGCAAGTATATTTAATAACTCATGTCCTGGTTGCCCTCTAAAATGAATAGCCATCAAGAGGAAAACCTGATACACAGTTGACCAACTATAAAATGACAGGTTAACTTAAAACAATCCTCTAATGCACAAACAAACATCAAAACAGTTGTTTCTGTCTGTCACACAGTATGTATGCATCATTTTTTAACATGTGTATAATGTAAGTAATGGAGGCCAAAATCTAGATTCCTGGTTTGGTGCAAGAATGTTCCCCAAAGTTCATCTGAAGCCAATATAAAGATCTCAATTGATCAATTAAAAAAGCCTTTTTTCTTTTGAAAAAGGAGTCCCTATTGTGTTTCTACAAACTGGTGCTGAGCTCTTGTGGAGGATAAAAACCGGGAATGTTTAGCTTTACTCGCACTGCTTAGGGCCTCATATAAACTTGCTGAAACTCAGATGAAGTTTGGGATTCATTCATGCAGAGAATGAGGACAGTGGACTGGTCCCCCATCCCTTATATTTACAGCACTTTAGAAGAGGATCTCCTTAGGCCCAGTACGACTAACTACTCCTAACTATTTAATCAGAACTGACTTGAAAGAGTGCACACCTATCCTTATAAAAGCAAGGCAGCATTTTGTAGTCTTGTCCAATGGGGCAGAAAGATGAATGAATAATTACTGGCTTGGAGAGTGAAGGTTCACATTTTTAAGAGCGTAAATGCCTATGAGCCTTGCGTACCAGCTGTGGTTTATCTTTTATTCCTGAAACTCCTGGTTCTTCCGCGCTCCACCATGGCAGGCGGAGCGCCACACATGTGTAACAGCTGATGTTGACACTCTTGACAGTGTGCACTGAGTCGAAAATTATAACACATGGCCCGTGGGTTTGGAGACGTGTCTCGTTCATGCCCCATTTTCCCATCTGTGTATGCTCCACCTCTTATCTGGAGCACTTGTGGTGTGGTGGGGAAGCTGACAATTACAGAGAGGAGAGGAAACATCTCTGAAAAACCCAGCGCTCCCGGAGTGACGAGACTCTTTAATTCCAAGAAAATCACTTTCTCTTGTCTCTTGTCAATCCCATCTTTCCTTGTTCCTGTTAATGCTGTTTTACCTCCCAACAGAGATTTCTTTAGGACATTTTACAATTTCCATCCTCCACGTTTGAATGCTGGACTGCCATGGTTCTTTTTGTGCTCTGTTCAGTTTTGTTCCTCTACGGCCTTACTGTATTTTCTAATTTAATAATCCCTAGTTTTCCTCTGCCCTCTTTATCTAATGCATATCTCCGTCCTTCTTATGTGTCTAGCTTTTCCTTTTCCTCCAACTCTCACTTTCATCCTCATTCCTTTCTCTCTGTATAACTTTTCCAATTTCAGTCCTTGCTCTCCTGGTTTTGCAATACAATGAGAAATGCCTCTGATGTAAATGCAATATTCTCAAATCGGAGTTCAAACACAGTGCAGCAGCTTGCAATCTTTCTCAATTGCCAACCACTTTTTCCTTTTACTTTCATTTCTATTCATAGTCCATATTTGCAGTGAGCCTTAATATTAAATTATATTATATTGGCTAAATGTTATTCCAAATTGACTAAGTAACTGCATTCATCAGTAGATTTGATTTGACATTGTTTTACTGTTTCCTGCTATGGGTGGCAGGGAAGTGAGTGGACCACACTGAAAACACACGCACACATCCACAGTTCAAAACAATCTGGAGGATTTTATGACGAAAATCAGGCTGCAGCATGTTGTGTGCATCCAAGTAGTTTAGACATTTTCCTTTGTGGAGTCAATCAAGACTCCTACTACACTTCTAAATTCACACTAACTCTTAGTGTGGCTTTGTAAAGCATTGTTCTCACTGCTGTTATATTCTGCTGTCATTGTTTGTCTGGGCAACAAACCGCAAAGCCTGATTTTTCTGGCGAGCCAGCAAAGCATGAGTTGTGTGAAAAAGAGACAGTTTTAGAGCGAAGGAGAAGAGTAGGAGGGTAAAGACAAAGAGAGTGAGAGAGGCTGTCAGAAAGTAAGGATGAGTGATTAGAGGTGTAAGGTGAGAATGGAGGGGACTGTCGTTTGTTAGCTCTGACAGCTCTGTTACAAGCTGCTCATGGGGGACCGACAGCATGCAGACCGAGAGATACACTAGTGATCGTGTGTGTGCTAGAGAGAAAAGAGTAAAACAAGACCAGCAGTAGATAGACAGATGGTCAGACAGAGAAGCGTAGGGGAAGAGAAGCCAGAAGGAGGAGGGAAACTGATGTAAGTAGTCGTTTTTAGCTCCCCGCTGTTTTAACAGCAGGTAGTAAAGATGGCTTTGGAGTGCTACACTCACAGAAAAACAAAACATGCTGTATGCAAACACCTCGCAGACACTCTATGAAGAAACCCTGCTCACCATGTTCCTTACCTCTGTGGGAGAGGTTGCCGTTGCTCTCTCTCTGAATGCTGTTGGGGGCCACGGGGCCCAGTAGAGGTGTGTGTGTGGATGTGGATGACTGACTTGAGCTGCTAAATCTTGTCGTCTCTGTGCTGGTGGCAGCGGGGGTCCGGGGCTGCTCCGTGGAGGTTCTGCGGGGGGTCTGAGATGTCGTCAGGCGTCTGATTGAGGGCCTGAGAGTCGTAGCAGCAGAGGTGGTGGTGGTGGTGGATTTTGTGGTGGTGGTTGGGGAGGTTTTGGTCGTGGCAGCAGTTGTGCTAGTTGTCGTAGAGCTTGCTGTAGTGGTTGTTATGGGAGTTGTGCTTGTGATGGTGGTGGTGGTAGTGGTTGGAGCAGCTGTTGTGGTTGTTCTGGGTCGAACTGCACAAGAGAAACAGGACAATAATATAATAAGTATTCTGTATTTTACTTGCAGATGTTTTATTTCGACTGTGTGCATCTATAAACAGCATGTAAGGGTGAATTAGAAGGTCAAACCATACTCCTAATTCCCCAGAAGTGAATATAAAACTAGTTGATAATGCAAGAAAAAATGATCAGGATATCTTTCAGTATGACATTTTGCGACATTGTAAATGTAATTAAAATGATCAAAATCAATCAACTCAATTCAACTGTTAGTCAGACAAATTAAGTTTAGAGAGGTTGCCAGGTAAAACACATTTTAAATAAGATAACATCCCTAAATGGCAAGTGTGTTTCTAGTTTAAGCAAACATAACACATCCTCTATTAGGGATGATGATGAACGGGGCACAGGGAAACCAAATACATTTCTAAAGGTTTTATGGTTGCTGCAATATTGATAATACATTGCTCCATAATTAGGCACAAAGCAGATAGCAAGAGGAACATATTATAAGGGGACATTTTATAACATCTTAATAAGAACTCAGAAGAAATATTGTCCTGCATTAGGAAGTCTAAAAAGTGTGAGTGCAAATGTTCTTTCTCTCAATTGCTCTTCCTGTCTCTGAGGGATCCTCTGAATGGTGGCCTACATACATCCTCATTTCTCTTTATCAACTCCTTTCTTCTCACCTGTGCAAACTGGCAATGCAAAACAGTGCACGTTTATTAAGGATGACAACTTAACAAATGCAGTGACTGCAAAGGCTCGGGAGTGGCTGAGCGTGGGAAATAAGGCCAGTGAAATAATGGAGGTGAGCTGGGAACACAGCGAAGCAGGGAGAATCCACCTGCAACCTTATAAGACATTATGCACAGCTATCTAATCTTCTATTCAGATGACAGAATAAATGTTTTGCATACTGACTGGTTTAAAGAAAACATTTTTAAAAGATATGTATGAATACTGGACTATGAGGTGGACTCCCGTCAGCAGTGCTGCAGTGAGAGTGAAACCAGGGAACATCGGTATGGCCTGGCACTCCATCATGTCACTGTGATAGCAGCCAAGTACGTTCATGTGACATTTCTCTGCACAATCCCTCTAATTGAGTACGCTCCTGGACTCTCTGTGATTTATTGGTTTCAGAGCGTGAACGACTTACCTATAGCACAGCGCCTCATGTCTGGTCCCAGCTCCATGCCATCAGGACAGGCACAGGTGTACTTGGGAGAGTGGTCTGTGATCTGGGGGGCCTTCAGGCAGAGGTACTCACAGCCACCGTTAGGTAGACTGCCCATGTTGCAGGTATCTGGGGCTGGAGGGACACAAGCAGACATAAAGAGAGGATTAAAAATGGTTGGGTTAAGTACAGGTTTTACATTATCCCTTGATTCAATTAAAAAATGTATGTTTTCTTAAAGATACTTTACATGTTTTGAAGTCTTACATCTCCATTGAAAACTATATATTGAAAACTTCCAAGAAAGACATGTTTTAAACATTTGGTGCTTTTCCCAACTGCATGTACGCTCCAGGGTGATGAGCGCAGAGGTGTACATGTACAGTAGACCAAAATAGTTAAAACACAAAGGTTATTAAGAATTTAAGACAGAGCCCCAGTTTTGAAACTTGACAGCACCCCTGAAAGTAATTGTGAACTGAAATGAAGGTTTGTCCTGGTGAGCACATTAGGAAAAATGAAAATAACAACGTTTCTTTTTGCATTATACATATATAATATGACATGTATAGAATGTATAAATTATACTTTGTTTATTCAGTCTTGACTTAGGGGCAATTCTTGACCCAAATGTAGAAAGACCAATGCAGAGAACGGGGTCTTGACCAATGTAAGCCCAGGATCACATATGTCAACAAAACTACATATCACCTACCAACATTATGGTGTACCATACTAAAAAACAACATGAAATATATGCTGGAAAGACATTTAACAGTGTTATATAGGGAATGATCCAGTAAAGTGATGCTTAGATAAAGGTGGTGGTGTTAAAACAAGTTTTTATATCCATTCCTTGCTCTGAAAAATGAACATGTAGTTCCAAACCCAAGACTCAGTTTCATGGAAAAATGGTGCTGCTCTTGTCATGAGGGAAATAGGTCAGGTCGCAATTGGTTTTTCCTCCTAACTTGTGCTGCAGTGGTTTTAAAGAGCAGCACATCAGAGGCATCACCAGCTGTCAGAGGAAGCAGCAACATCACTCACGACACACAGTAATATTCGAATAAGATGGGAATACATGTATAGTAACTCAGCATGTCAAGTATCTAGTATGAGCAGCTGTCCAAATTAAACTTCAAATATATTGTATACCTGCCTTCATTATTAACAAGAAATGAATCTCTTCTGGTTAAAGCAAGTCTTTGAAATGCCATGACACATTATCACATCACATTTAATTCTGTGCTGGGGTAAGAAATGTGAAGGCTGGACGAGGAGAGGAGAAGAGCAGCATGGACAGAAAGGGAGAGAAAAAGCAATACATAAAATCAAATAAAATGAGATGTAAAGATATAAGGACGGACCACTCGTGAAAAGAAAGTAGAAGGCTGGAGGGAGATATCAAATAAAAAGTTGAAAAAATAAAAAATGATATATCCATTATTCCATCCTCTTCTTCTACTTCCCTTAGGTCTAGATTAAGCTCTACAAATGGAACCAAGGCTTCAAATAAAGCTGTCTGAACAACAATAAATGAAAACAAATTAATACATAAGAAATATATATAATAAAGAAGAGAATATACTGGCATATCAATTATTGAGAAACTATTTTAAAGAACAATGTCCAAAAATGTAGACATTAAAATATTGATCCAATATGTGAGGAGATGCATTGTGGCGAATAATATATTTGATGGGGGATTTGTGCTTTTTGATTTAGATTAGCATTTTTTTTAGAGGAAAAAACATATGTGAAGAGCAAAAGATAAAGATCAAACACCGAGACCAAGACACATCACAAATTACTTCACTCAAGGTCAGAAATTATCAAGTGATTACTTATGAGAACTACTAGTATCTGCACATGGCAGCTAGAAATCAAAATTCATCTCCATTTTATCGCGTTTGGCCCAGTTAGTTGTATGTCATCCTTTTGTTCACATTGTCAAAACATGCTTATTTCTGTGATATCTCTCGGAGCAGAACTCCTCATTTATTAATAAGAGAATGCAATTAGCGTTCTACTGGCACTCAGACAAGACTTTTTGCACAAAACAAATCATGAAAACAGTCTCACACTCACACATGCCCATTTCGTGCCTCACACACACATAGAGATTGTTAGCTGTCACGCACTCACTAAGGTATTTACTCACCACAAACAATAGGTTATTTGGTTATTATTTCAAACAGTTTAGGAAAGTGAATTCTTAAACAAAGTGGATCTAAAAAAGCACAACATATGTCCATCTCATGGATTACTGCATGTCTTACCTTTGGGTTGCCTCTGTTCATGAAACACCACCAGGTCCAGGGGGTTGTTCAGGTGCTCTGCTACCTTCACCACATCATGTCCGGTCAGTCGGTTGGCACTGTATATCGCTTCATCCTCCAAATCTGTCCAATATATACGATCCTGGATAAAAAGAAAGAAAGAGTTAGACAAAACAATCCAACATAAATACATTCTAGCAGTTGAATTATTCACTCTCATTTATTCATACATGAACAGAAAGAACAGCTCTGTTCCAGTGGGCTCAGTTTGAAGCCCAATCCATTCAGACAGAGAGATATGTATATGTTGGCCTATTATGAATATGTAGCTCTTTGAGTGTGTGGCACCGAGTAATTTCCTGCTTTGCTCTGACTGTACAGTTTTGGTATGACATACTAATGCTAAACACAAGGAGATTTATTGTGTTAAAGTTTGTTTCCCCACAAAACTGTTTTAATACAACAATTACCTCCTGAGACTCCTCCCTTAAATATTCACTGTAATGCTGCTTGGCTCCAGTAATCAACCATACAAGTACAATCTAGGGTGAATCAGAAAACACTGATAATGATTATTTTTAAGGACAAATCTACTATACTACTATACTTACTATAGTAGGTAAAAAGGACTCTTGTAAAATAATGTATAACAACACTATAAACATGACAGCCATGACTACCACTGACTTTACTGAGTGCATCTTTTGTAAGAAATAAAGGAATAAATACTGCCAGCCCTGACCCGTGAGATCATGCTTTCATCATTCACTTCAGTTTCCTCCTTTCTTTCCATGTCTCTTCTTTTCTAACACTTCCTCCCAATTCTCTTTAGTGGTATTAAGGTATAAAAGGAAAAGCCTCTGAAGTGGTTATGACACTTGGTTTCTATGGCAACTGCAGACTGCTCCATCCATGTACACACACATCAATTAGGAAAAACACAATTTCTTTTGATAGTAACAAAAGACACACAGGCGATGAGATCTTCGTAAGGTTACAAACATAAACGAAGGAGAAAGAGACAATCCAGAAGGTGAGTGTTAGACAGAAAGGGGAAAGAGGTATCAGGCTCCTATAGGTATTTATTTTTTTGTTTGGGGTTGTGCTAAGAGTTGTGGTTCTTTTTAAAGGGCAAGGATCTAGGAGTGCAGTCACAGATTTGTCTGCTGGGTGTATACATCTGTGTATCTCTGTGTTGGTTCAGTCATAGCTGTAATCCACGCTCTATATTCGTGCCGGGTTATCGGTGGAGATGACCTTTCTTTCACCTTCCCCTTTCTTTACACTGAGCTTTCTATCCCCTCATCTTCAACCTCACTCAGAATCAGATAACCTTTACTCATATGACAGTATGGGTTGAAACAATGAAAGACAAATATCAGCCATGTTAATAAAACAGTACTCAAATCTATCATTCCATCTCCCCTTTTCCTTACTGTCTCTGAGGATGTCTTTCTCGCTCTCTGTCAGTCTACGCAGGCGTTTTTCTCTTTCAGTTTCTCACTGTCAATCTTCGTATCTGTCTTCAAAAGCTTCCAACATCAATGCAGACCTGAGAAGGTCATTGCTCTCTTTGTACGATCAAGGTGAGTTTTCAATGATGTGTCAAATAATAGCCTAGAATGTATACACATGCACACATAAGCTCTGCTTATCATAACATTGCATCACTTTAGTCTGTCTCCGATTATCAAGGGGAGAGACTGCATCAAAATGGATATGAAGTCTATTTAGGGTCAAGTGGAGAACAGCTCTTGAAGATTTTGATTGTGTCCGAGAAAAACCTTCTGACAAATGTTGGTCCCTTTTTGACTGACACTTCTGCCTGATGCACTTTTGGTGCCTCATTTCTTTCCTTAGAAGTCATGCCAGAAAACTACAAATAAAAGCTTAAACAAAGCAAACCCAATCAACATTTGGAAGCCTTTGATTGTTTGGATTTGACTTTTATCTCTTTGTTGTATCAGCCTTAGTTATGAAAAAATTATGTAGGCTGGTGTTATCTGTGAATGAATACAATTATGTTAGGAGACATTTTGTGTTAATCTCCACCAAACTGCAGACAAGTATTGAAGCTTTACACATGCATGGTACACCCACACAGGTGTTTGTAGTCACTTTAGCGGACCTCTTATCTGGGGGTGTGGACAGATAGGGCTTGACTGACATTTCCTCATTATTTCCGTTAAAACTGTGTTTTCGCTTTAGTTTGAATATTTACTCTAAATCCAATTAATTTGATCACTGTGTGACTGATGAATTCAAGAATGTGTGTCCTGTTTTGTTGTCAACACAAACTATATAGCTTACTTTGACAGGCAATTGTCTATTTTTATTTTTTGTCAGACTTTTTGCATCGTATCCTTTTTTTGGTCCTGGCGTCAACACATTTTAAATTAAAGCTTTAAAGGCCTAAACAGGATTTTTGTGTCCTGTTATGAACAAGCTAAGCTAACAAGCTAATGAGCTTGCTAACTGACTGTTAGGACATTTGGTAACTCTGAGGGCTATATTTTCCCCCTTTAATTACTTTTTTAATTGAAATAAATGGTATGCAATGATGAGTAAAATGCCAGATGAAGCTGTGGAGGCTATTATGAAAAAAGTGCTAGGCTAACTAGCCCAGCTAGTGTGCTACATGTTAGCTCGCCATACAGCTAAACATATCACCACCTAGCTCTGCAAGTAGTAACTTCCCCATCCTGTTTTCACGTGGATAAGCAAATATCTTTGATGTGTAACCGACATATCCGCTTTATTTTATGCGAGGGACAACTAGTTTGGTGAATATTTTATAATATCAAGCATAGCTTCAGCCTGAGCAGAGGTCTAATCAAATAGAATAAATGAAAACACCTGTGTGGGGGCGTAAATCACAGTTAAAGCCTGCTTAAATCCTCCTACGTTGTTGAGTTCATGGTAAAAGGACACATTTGAGCCTCAGCACTTTTGTTTTTCTAAGAGGGGATACAACGTAATGCCATGATACTAAAGCCAGAGAAAGAGAAATCATTGCTCTCTGAATGACTCTGCAGCCTACTTTTCCTCTGGGCTCGGTGTCTCGGCAGGGGGTGGAGCCTGACTGGAAGGGTTTGTATGTGTGCGTTTGGTGGTGCTGTGTTCAGACTTTGATATAGAAACCCTGCGACTTACCTCTGCAGTGTGAGGAAACTTTAGTACATAGTATGATGTTAAGGGATTTTTAATTTGTTCTGTATCATATCCAGAACAGAACAAAGAACAGAGAGCTGAGGGCTATTAATCTCCAGAGATGAACTTTCACTGCCTGCTCGAAACGTTGGTTTTCTTCCTCTTCTTTTACACATACACACAAATCCGAGCACACCCCCAAGAACACTCAGCTGGACATGATGGATGTCTTTGCTTCTCATCCTCACAGTGTGTGCAGCAAAGAGAGGAATGGAGAAAAGCACTTCCTACTGATCACATTTCACCTCCCACTTCCTCGCCCTCATCCTCCTCTGCTCTCCACTGCTTCTATTTTCCACCTACATCATTTACATCATCTATACTTGATAGGCTCTAACAGACTGACTCACTCCTGCCTCAATAAATACAACCAAATGAGCTCCATCGATTGCTGTACTCTACTGTGACTCTATAATGTTCAGCTCATGAACAGATAATTATCTGGGTTTATCTGGCTGTTATACTTCTTCTATCATCTCTATTTCTCATTTATCCTCAGTCAATCTCTAACAAAAGGAAGATAGAAACATTTGAACAAATCACTTTGAACAACCCATGTCTAATACCTACATTTTGCTAGCAAATATCTAAAAATACACTTACAAGATGGCAATCAAGATATGAGAAGTGTCACCCACGAGGCAGAGAAAAGAGAGGACAGATCTGTTTTTCGGTGTCTTTCTACCTTTAGAGGTCAAAAAGGACAGCACAAACACTGCAAATAACATGTTTTTATTCATGCTGAATTGTAAGGTTATCTACCCTATTTTTATTTTAATAAAATAGTAATCTTCATTCATACTTTATAAGCACAATGGTTTAAAATAGATTTGATGGCAATATCAAAAAGGAAGTGTATTTGTTTGTGTAACATTTTTTAGCCTGATATTGCTGTTGTATATATCAAATGCGAAATTGCTCTGAATTGATTGAAGGAGAAAATCTTTAATCCCCAAGACTGGATATTTGGCTGCTGAAGAGAACAATGATTTCATTATGAAAAGAAAAGAAGATATATCTAGATTGTGCCGTCACAGTGTCACTGTCTCTGTGATTTGAATTTCCACAACACACCAGCAATAACTAAAAAGCAACAGCCAACTTGAAGGAAATAAATCAATCTAAAAAACTTCTTGTGTGTTCTGGAAAATGGGAAAAACTAAATAAGTAGTCAAATCTGTTTTCGAAAGTGTGTAAAAAGCATAGAGTGGTTCTCTTGCAAATACAAAAAACGGTTTACTGACAGGATCCAAACATCATTGGTTGTAGTAATTATGTGGATTTATTGTATACTAATTCTTCCATACCTCGAACACAGTGAGGGCAAAGGGGTGTCCCAGCTGCTGATTGGAGGACAGCAACACTTTGCGATTGTCTCCATTCAGGTCCACACTGGACAGCAGGTGCAGCTTGGAGTCTAACCAGTAGAGACGCCTGTTCGATAAGTCTGAGGAAGAAAGAGAGAGGGATCAAAACCAAGGCAGAAGGAGGGAGAGGTGGATATGAAAGAAGAGAGAGAGGTCATTCCACGAGAAAAGACCTAGGGTGAGAGGTATATGAATGTAATGGCCCAGTAACCACACCATCAATCTTGTTCGACATGGCGGCTGAGGCCGCGCGCTGAGAAAACACAGATGTGATTATAATATTGCCGCTTGACTTCTTTGCCGGGGAACATATTTGTGCGCTTGAGCTAATTGATTAGTGTTGGTGGACTTGCGTTAAATAACAGCTGTTTGCTGTTTTACAGTTCCATCACCTTGTATCTGTCCCCGAACTTGTTTACTTAAGACTCTATTTTTGCGCTTTTGCTTAAGGCCATCAAGTAACGCTGTGGTTGAATTGAAAATGTAAGTGTGAGAATCAATCAGATTTGATAGGAAGGGAGATAATGAAAGTATGACTTTGCTTTTGCTAGGTGAGAATGAAGAAGGAATTGCAGACAAGTATTTTTAAACATCATTCCTTAATAACACAAAGTAATAAATTGTATTTTTTTGGATAACATTGTTGTAGTTATGTTTTTGTTAACATACATTTAGTTAACAATACTGGTAGAAACAACACTGTGATACCCCTTTTGATATTGCTTTGGATTAAAGCGTGCAATTCAATATTGGAAGGAAGTCCAAAAAAAGTGTACTTTAAAAGAGCAGGAGTTTCATCACGTCCATAGTATGTAATGTAACTTAAAAGGAAACTGAATTGACATGGTCACGCCAAAAAACACTTAAAACCAAGTTATTTTCATTTATCATTCCGGTTCCATTTTCTGACAAAAAACTGTTATGCTCCCTGTATAAAACCAGTGAAGAAGCGGAAATAATCCAGCTCCCCTTCCAAGCGGTCTGGCCAACTCTCTCATTCCCCTTACTCTAAAAAATAATTTGTTTTCAAACACATGTAGTGACACCTCAATTCCACAGAGTGTGGCAACTGCATGCCTCTCTTACTCCTCAGGCAAGGGCAGCTCAGAGAAATTGGCTGGTGCCGCGGAGGGAGTTGAAAGGGATGATGAGAGGTATTGACAGCACAGAGCGTCTGGCTTATTAATTCAGAGGCCTGTGTTTGCTAGCTTGATTGATGAGAGGCACACAAACTGAGCTGCTACAACAATAAGAGCAGCTCGAGGGTTGCAGCTACCCTAGACTGATTTCTTCTCTTAGCTCTGGCTGATTGTCTTTTGTTTCTGTCTTTCTTTGAGTCTCTGTCTTTCAGTGGTGTGAACTCAAATACTTCCCTCTTTCTCCAAAAAGCAATATCAACATTATAACTGTGTCTATAAGACTGCTCTCAGAGTTGATTGTGTTCCCTGTCCCTGCATCATCTTATAGTTCTCTTCAAAAAGCTTTTAATGTTTAAAGTAGCATATTTTATGTTCTTCCTTACCCAGGGTGATTCCATTTGGCCACTCGATGTGTTCAGACACCAGGACTTGTCGGTCCACTCCATTCATCCCGGCCTTCTCGATTTTGGCCTGATCTCCCCAATCTGACCAGTACATAAATCTGTGGAGAGACACATACAAACCAGTTACATATAGATGGAAACAATTCAGTGTGGCAGTCACTAGGTTTTTCATGTGCAATGTCATAGTGAGTATTTCGAATATAACTATGCGCCTCAATCGGTGTACTGTACTCTATCACACAATGTCCTTGTCTGACTCTTGATCTCATTTTCTCGACAAAATCAAATTGCTTTAATTCTGAAACAGGCCTTGAAGACACTAGAATAAAGTAGATACTGAGCAAAACTTCTGATACTGGAAAATTGGATCACTTTCACGAATGTGTGTGTTAATGAAAGCTGGGCTTCTTTTGCGTTTATTTCATGCTAGTCTAGCATTGTAGAGTTGTAAAAAGAGCCCTTTGGGGAACTGAAGACATCCGAGACAAAGGGAAAGAGGCAGATAAGAGTCCTGTCGTATCTCCAAATAATTGTCGAGCTGCCTAATCTAACAGATGGGTGCAGGCATGGTGTTGCTACGGTTTAGTACAAATTGACTTTGCCATCTTCTCGCACATTGTTCATCTGCCTAAAGCTCACCCTTGGTGTGGATCCACTGCGATGGCCCGCGGCTCGCTCAGCTCCGTGGCTATCAGCACTTTTCTCTTCCTGCCGTCTCCAGTGGCGACGGAGATGCTCTTGTTGCCGGAGTCGGTCCAGTAGATGTTCTTGTGGACCCAGTCAACGGCCAGGCCCTCGGGGGAGTTGAGCGAGTCGATGAGAGTCACTTGCTGTGATGGGTCACTGGCCTTGTTGATGTAAGCACTGGAGGGTGGAGGAGAGGAGCTGTGTCAGTCACTGTTGTGGAAATCATGAAATACCCAATGATTTAGGAACAGAGACGAAAGAAAATCACACAAGTTGTACTTTGCTATATTGCTAGATGGAGTGTAGCACGCGCCTTTGATACTGAGTTACACATGTTGAGGAAATAGTATTGTACAGCTCCTCTGAAGGAGAAATACTAGGTCTTTATCTGACAGTATCTTATAAAACCCCCTGCCTCTTTTTCTCTCCCTCTGTTTTTTCCTGTCGCTTGTCTTTTCAATCTCTCGCCATTTTCCTCTTGCATTCCACTTGTTGTCTGTCCAATCGTCTTTTTCCCCATTTCTGCTTTTATTTTTTCCTTTTCTACACTTAGTATCTTTGAACGTATGACAGCATTTTCCTTCACATGAGGGCTATACTTAGTTTTACCTTAATTTACTGTCGTTTACAACATTCTGTTGCAATTTGGCTTATTGTATTTTCTTTGACATCTACATGTATGTATGTATATAGTTTACTTCATCTGCATTACTTTATTATCTTGCACTATTTTATTACTACTCTGTTTCTTCTTGCACTATTTTTATTGTTTTTTAAATGTGTTTTATTGTTTTATGTCTTATATATATTTATGTTACATTGTTGGAGGAGCCTGGGACTTAGGCTTTTCATGGCCATAACTACACTATAGATACTGTGCATATGACAATAAAGCCTTTGAATCTATACAACAATAAAAATACTACAACCTTGTTGGAAAGCTGGAAAACGAATGTCTCGTTTAAGAACCAGAATTCCGATGATGAGTGCAAACAGGAGGAGCAGCTTAACTAAAGGCTGGCGAGGTAGCTTTGGAGCAGAAGATGAGGAGGAGATGGATGAGCTGGGGCTTGGAAGCAGCTTGCGTTGTTAATGGGCTGAATTACTGTTTGCCACCTCAGACATCTTCATCTATGGGGGGAAAGTTAGCCTGCTGCTGTCTTGTGATGGATAATCTATCTCTCGTGTCAGGGTTTATTGCATGGATCCAACACCTGTCTCACACGCAGCAAATTACATTGAGGGCTGAAGAAAAATGGATACGGATGAATCCGTGATCAATTAAATATACTACACTATATATAAACTCCTGTGTTTGAAATTAAAGTCATAATATTCCTTGTTCAATAAAATAATCACGTCATAATTACTCCTTACACACCCTATTGTACAGATTGTTGTAGATATATAAGGCATAGAAAAGGAATTATTTCACAGAATATTGGCAATTCTCATGACATCCCTGTTTTTAATTACACATATTCAAATTAACTAGAATGAGCAGGTTGGAGGGATGTATGGAGGGCAGACTGGAGTTAGAAATAAGACAGAGACTGATGAGTCCAAACCCACTGAGCAGATTGCATCTTTAATTGGATGTATTATTGTTTACTACAGACATCTCCATCACAGACGGAAGTTAGCAAGTCATCGACCCGTAGCTTGCTAATCACTATGAATTAGCCTGGAAAACCACACTGTTGGAGTGAGGGGCAATGAGGATGAATAACTTTGAAAATAACAGCTATTTCTATTGGGTAAAAACATCCGTAGCAGAGAGAAAGTACCGTAATTTTCGGACTATAAGCCGCGCCTTTTTCCCTATTTTTTGACGCTGCGGTTTATATAACGGTGCGGCTAATCTATGGATTTTTACAGCTAACGGCCAACACCTTTAACTCTATGGGCTCTATGGCCGGTCCGCGGACCCCCACCTTTAAGCGGCGGGTTCCAGCAGGAAAAGCTNTAATACAGATGAGCAAAGAACAACTATTTTTAATTTTAAAAGAGCATTTTTTGATTGAAGTATTGTAGAATGTAAGCCGTAATCAAACTTGACATACAAATGCTATCGGCAGGAGGCAGTGATGAACTGCATGTGCCTAGACCATTGGAAATCAAACCAGGTAAGCTAAATTGCAAAATATATATGTATAGCACCTGTAATACATCTCAGTGGACTTTTTCTGAAAATAGCACCTGTTACGAACAAAGCCATAGCTATTTTTTGAGTTGAGTTGATTGAAGTTCCCTCTGCAAAGCAGTGAAGAATTTTATTCATCCAGGGCTTCTATTGTCTGAATGAGTAAAGCTGTGAATGTGGAGGGCACTGTGCCTTTAATAGGGCCATGAGGTTTTTATGGAGCTTATGAGCTAGAAAAAGGAGCGGATGTCACAAAATCTGCAGCATAAATGCATTGATCCGATGATATACTTTAATGCTCTTGGTTGAATGAAAAAAGGAAAGCAGGGAGAAAAAACACATCAAACATCAACTCAGGCTGATCTACCTGCACACATTTCACTTGTTGCAGCCCATTTAAGGTGTCTTTGTGTGTTGATATGATTCTAACAAAGCTTATCATAATGAATTAGTTCATTTGTCCTTTCTCCGTCACAAGCCCTTGAGAGTACAACTGGGTCTGTGTGGAAGTATGCTTATGTGCGTGTGTCTATATGCAAATGAGTAATGGTGGTGATTATTGAGGCAGCGGAATTAGAGATAGCATATGGCTCAGCTGAGATCATAGAAGGCCCCTCCCACAACCTGTCAGCCTTCGGGGTGACACACAGGCACACACACACAATAATAATACCAGTAATTCTGTGTGTGCAAATACTGTTTGTGCTTGAAGGACAAACAAGTCCACCTTTTACTGACAGATGACACAGCCCTCCAGGTGTCACACACACACACACACACACACACACACACACACACACACACACACACACACACACAATGTCACACACACACACACACACACACACACACACACACACACACACACACACACACACACACACACACACACACACACACACACACACACACACACACACACCCCCAGGTGGGTCTTGCTACCAGAAGGTGGGACAGTTCGAAGCAGACAAGATGGATAGGTAGAGGACAAATGAATGACAGAATGGCTGACGCACAAGAATATAATGTGATTCTTAACACCTAATGTCCTAATCTAGCAAAGTGGTTTTATAGGCTTCAATGTGAGTTCAAATGCTAAACAAATCATAATGTACGGTTAATGGTGTGTCTGTGTATGTCTGAGTGTGTTGTGTATACCTGTATATTTTACGATGGTATAGATCACACCAGAACATCTTGTTAATGGACACGTCTACATCCAGGGCCACTGCGTTCTTCAGCGTGGGGACAACCTGTGTATATTCGCTCTTCAGCAGGTCAATTCGACGGATCTCATGGCGGTTGGTGAACATCAGGTACGGACTTTTTCCTGAGGGAGCAGAAAAGACATTCACGTCACAACAATGTATGAGTCTGCCGAAGAATAACAACGAAATTGGACAGATTGGTTGCAAATCTCAAGAGATGTATGGAGACCCTTGACAGCCATTAACCTACTATTGTAACCCCGAAAGAGATCACATTTATCATTTTCAACCAACTCCCTACAAGACGGGGGGGGCATTTGACCGTCAGTCATAGCTAGTGTATCTGTATATATATATATATATATATAAAATGTAGCACACACCCAAACCGGTATTTGAAAGGTTAACCTGCATATCTGAATATTCGCTAAAGTAACTCAATCCACACCGTTCCTGAGACTGAAACAGACAAGGTCACATTGACTTCATACCAATGCAGCTCACTGGCTGTACAGTTTGATGTTATTTTGCTGTTATCACGTCAACAAGACATGAACATTGCCAGAAATGGTGATATGAAATAAAATAGTGTTTTATGCAGTCATGCTGATATTATTATTAGTCACTTGCAATGGCAAGCCTTGCCCTTGAATCCATTAAAAAAGATCGTTCAGACTTTACATGGCCCAGCGATAGAATACATTAGTGAACTTTAACCCCTTCCTTTCATAAAAGATTTCTCAGATCTGCTGAGTTAGGCCTGCTAGCTGTTCCAGGGTACAGGTTAAGGTCAGAGGTCGACCGAGTGTTTGCTGTACCGGCAACTTAAGACACCATTTTTATTCTATTCTATTTACATATCACTGCTCTGTGTTTGTTACCTCGGAATCAATCAGTGTTCACTAGCCCTTTCCCCCCTTTAGATGTACTTTAGCAGTGAAAAACCTACACACTGTAATAAAAAGACACCATGTTTATTGTCGGGTATTTATTCTTATTCTGAAGAGAGAACATGATGTGAGATAAATATGGTTGTGTTTTGCATTGTATTATTTAGGTCTTTAATGCATGTATTTTTAATGATGTGGGCATCAATTAAATTATTCCTATAAACCTTTTAAAAAGGAGAATACATTTTGTACACACAGAATACTTTTGACTTAATGCTGCTCACTGAATTATTTACACAGAAAAATGAACACATACATTACGTAATGTGACCATAGTTGAAAGCAAAGAAACGTTAAAAAGGAGACACTCATTTAAAAGGTCTTTGTGTGTACTGTGTGAATTTGAGTGTGTGTTCTGCAGCCGGGTGATGTAATGAAGCACAATGTGCAGGTGGACAAAGTTCACCAAAAACTAGACATGACACATTGTTCTATTTTTAGTACAACAGCTTGTCAAAAGTGTTTCTAGGTTCGGTTCAGTATGAGCTGTTGGCTGGCACATCAGTTACCTTGGGCACATTTTTCAGCAGGCTGTAGGTGAGCGTGAGTCGAGCATTTGAAATCATGTCCTGCATTTGACAAGGTCAAACCTCATACATATACAAAAAATTACTTTGCATTCCTGCATATGGTAGACACTCAAAAACAACCTTTGTTTTAGCTCAACAGTGCTGTTGTCCAGGATTTCTGTCTCCTACACAGATACCCATCCATCTATTTTCCTTCATCTTCACTTCTCTACCCTATCTGTCATGTTTCTCTCCACTCCACACTGCCCAGTAAAGCTGAAATGCCGCCTAACGAGACAGAGTTGGGCAACAGTCACACTGAGGTACGCCCACACGCACACAATTTCATACTTTCACACAGAGCCAACCATCCCTAAATAGGTTTCCTCAGCCCTGGTTTAACACAGGCTACGGCACAGGGAGAAAATATTACATTTGTACTACTGTTTGGTTCCAATCATTTTCCTCTGACTGCTAAGTTTTAAATCATCATTTTCACCAGCAGAGAGAGGGGGAGACGGAGTGAGAGAGCAACGAAACAAGATAGAGACAGGCACAAGCAATGTGATGGAGGAAGATATGGTGAAATGAAGAACATTATGTAATTTGGGGGTAGAAAGTAAATAAACTAAACTAATAACAGCAGGGGAAAGAAAGTCAGATGGGTAAGGTGGAAGAGAGAAAAGGGAGAACATTTTTAAAGTATGCATTAATACGAACAGAAATGGACTTCTCTTTCATAAATCCCCCGACACACTTTTCACATCACTTATCCCTCATCACTCTGTTGTTGCAGCAATCTGTCCTTCTCAAATTGAAACAAAGCTGACTCACTGTTTTCCTCTAGCTATGACATAGCATCAAAATGTGCATTATTATCTCTCCTCAATATATCCCTGCAAAGCAACAGTCAGCTTTCCTAACAGAGTATAGGATCCCCGGATACATTTGAATCTGTTCTGCTAGTTAAGGGCCGTTCTGCCTGTTGGCCAATTAAGATAAAGCAGAGGAAAAAGATCATTTCAGGCTTTGGAATTGCTGTCCAGCACAGAAGGAGAATTCATTTAATTTGCAACCAAGCAGATGTTTATGTTGTGGAGATGAAAACACCCAAGACAGACAGAAAGGTCACTCTGACCCGGTCAGGAAAAGACATGAAATTCTGCAGGATGATGGGGATGTCTAGTTGCAGCCAGTGTGAACAGGCCAACACTGGATGAGGTTATTATTAGGATGATGTTACGTCTGGGAGTAGAAACAAATGTCTAGGTCAGCCATGCTCGTTAAAACATATTGACCTTGCTTTGTAATGCTGAATAGACGCTGAAGCAGGGAGAGAAATTAACCTTCTGGCAAAAGTCATCCACCTCATGACAAAGCAACCCTTCATTATATGTGGTGGGTCGCCAGAGTCTTCAAAAGATAAATGCTGTTGTTGTTGGTGGTGGTTTTGGAGACCATTATAAAACACGATAGGTCACCGAAAGAATGACAGATATAAAGTATACGATAAATATATATAGTTGTATTGGATATATACAAGCATTCATTACTTGCTGTTAAATACCATATATATGCCGTTAATAACTGTGCAATATATACCTGGCTGCTAAATCCTAAGAACTGTTACAGGATGTGTATTTTGTAAATTGTGTAACTTTTTATTTTGTATTATATCATAACTTTTTCCTTTTACTTAGTACTTTTTAATGCATGTAACATATGTAACATGTTTAACATTAAGCTGTCTGTGGCTCTTTTTCTGCTGTAACAACGTAACTAATAAAGGTATTCTAATTCTGATTCTGATACCAATATTCCTGAAGGAAGACAGAATACATTGTATTTTGCTTTCATATTAAAAGCAAAAAACTGCGAAAAAAACTTCTGAGATGAGGTTTGACAGTGCTCCACAACGTCTTGGGTCCCATAGCAAAATAATTTGACAATGGGGTGAATCTGACCACTGCTCTAAACCCAGTTTTGAAAAGTGTGTGCTCAAACTGTCAAGTGTGGTGAAAACTGCCCTTGGCACTGCGGTTAGCCTGCAGTACACTGTATATGAGAGAACAAGGAACAAGATATGGAAACAACAGCGAAAAACGGAAAGTAAGAGTTTTGGTCCACAGGCAGTTTGTACATTTCCTCAGCATCGATGTGACAGCGCGCCCTGCTTTTATCAACCAGTGTGTGTGTGTGTGTGTGTGTGTGTGTGTGTGTGTGTGTGTGTGTGTGTACCTGTATTGTTTTCATGCCATCACATCTTTCTCATCCTTATCTTTACTCCTGCCTGAACATTTTAGAAACTTTTATTTTAAAACATTTAAGAAAGTTAGCTTCATAAAATATTCAACGTTTGCCCCAAAAACAACTGCTATTGAGTTCGCTAAAGTTCTTAAAATGACTTATCAGTCCCATCGTTTTCTCATAAGGGTGCTTTTAATGAAAGCTAGTTAGGAACGCCATTATTTTGTGTGACACTTTAAATCTGCAGCATGTGTTTTTTTTTCTTTAAGCGAGTAAATGTATTTCAATAACAAAATAATTAAATATATGTTATGTCCATTTGCCTTGCAGTAACATGAACAATAAGAAATTGTATTGATATATACATATTTGTTTATGGCAGCAGTTTGCTCTCTAGTAGAAGAATTGAACTGCTTGATTTTATTTAGACACTGGCGAAATATTTTCTCTCGAATTTGTGCTGCAGTAATTCTCTCTGTGTTGAGTGATCAGTTGTGACATACTTGTTATATGTTAAGGAATGGGGTCGAGGTGTTATTTCACTTTATGTTTACTATATGCATTCATATTTTCATTCCTCTCCTTCTCGGTCTTGGCCCTGTCAAAGTCAATTTGGCTTCAACTCTAATTTATGTATGAGAGAAGACTAAACTGGTCAAGAAACTGCTGCCTGTGTGGATCCATCCCTCTGATACTTTCTGTAAACTCCCACACTCTGTCTAGCTCTGTCCTAAACACAAAACAATAGCTCAAATTGATGACTCAGTGTGGCATGAAAACCATAAAGTGTAAACACAAAAAAACAATATGTTTAATTAGTGAGTACAAGTCTTTATTCAAGTACTTTATGGACGCTGCCATGTAGTAACACCACCACACACACATTCACAAATACCAGCTGAGGGGAGGGAACAGGTCTAGTACTTTAATTTGAATTAGCATTGCTAGCGTTACGTATTACTCGGAAATTCATCTGCAGAGCATGAAACCATGTGTGAACTCATTCTTTGTACATTGGAGAATACAAAGAGTAAAGGTTATCTTATTCAATTATCTACACAGGCTCAACTTGCACCAACTACAACAAGCACAAGTGGAAAATGCAGTAAGAAAAACTATTATTTAATATATGCCATTGCATTTAAACTACTAGTGTTTTTGTGTGAGCCTCCGAGATAGAAAAAGCCTGAACTTCAGTGCAAATGATATTGGCACTTGGCACGTGTCACATCATATCACAGAATGTCACACTCCTTCTGGGCAGTGTATGTGCACGAACCATAACTCGACTACTCGAAATAACTATGTGTTCATTTGTGTGACCGGAATCTCAAAGTGTTCATCTATGTTAATGAATGTGAATGTGTGCACACTTGCGTCTAGGAATGAGTTCACAGGCAAATCCGGCTTCATTATGTCTACATTATGTCAGCTTCACGAAGCAAACATCTTTTTATTTATGTTCCTATCTCTATTTGTGCCTCTGACTACATAAACCTCAATAATCCTGTCACATTTTCATATTGAGGCCGTCTCCTTCGGGACGCTATGACATGTGCCACTATTAACTCTCTCAACATTACCTCAATGAGCAGAAAGACATTCCAACAATGCATCCGTCCATCCATTTATCCTCCTCCTGCCTTTCTTCTCCTCTGACAAATGTCTTAGCCTCTGACAAGGACTGTTTGTGCTGCCTTAGAGCAATAAGGATTCACACAGAGAGGCATGAAGCAATCAATGGTGGTTTTTATGCCACTTAACTTAAGAGTGAGGTCCTGTTTTCTGCTCCAAGCTCTCTCATTACTAGACCACTTGATCCAATAATGACTCAACCTAAGACTGATGGTGGTAATCACTGGTAACACTCTTTTCTCCCTCTTGCCCCACAAAAAAAGTTAATTTACTGTGTAACTTAATCAGTTAATGGTTCCATTCCCACTTCAGGTAAATGGGTAGTCATGAGGCATTGAAACTGCCAGGGCAAGTTTATGTTTCCTGTAAAATGCATAACATTGTATGCACTAAATATTTATTTCTACTTATACAAATCTATTTAGGTACCCTTCAAGTGAAAATGACATGTCATTTCGAATTAGCAATAGCACTGAAATTCTGCTTTCAGCTCTGCTAAATATATATTTAAAAATATAAGTCAATTTTATCATAACTTCAGTAAATATTAAAAGCTCTATTTTGTAATTGGTAGCAGGAAAATGTTATCTCCAGTTGGTTAAATTGTTGATGAAGTACAACATGGAGCTTGTCGGGTTTTAGGTGTAAATAACAGGATGAAGTCGATCTTTACTTCAAGATTTAACTGGACCAATTTGCCTGGTTTAGCTTAAAGGACCAGATTTGATCTCTACTGCTCGGAGTGTGTACGCAGGCCAAAGAGGGTTTCAGACCCTGCTCAGTGTGCGGGAAGGCCCTCTCCCCACAGAACGTCCTTTCTATGATACTCCAGAGGGAGCAGAAGCAGCTGGCTGCAAACTTTTCATTAGTGAGGACTGCAGAAAAAGGTGGCAAATATTTATCTTTGCACAGATTGCTCTGCAAGGCCTGCATACAAAGCGAGCTTCCCGCTTCACAATATCCCACAGTGTGAGAATAGTGTGGGATGTGCCTCTGTAGCTAGAGGTGATGGAATGGGAGAGTAATTGGTGTGTATATAAGGGTTGATTTCGACATTTGATTCTCTTCGTGTACATGTCTGCCCATGACTGTGTGTTTGTGAGAACATCCATCTTCGAAGGTGTGGGTCTTAACCCGAACAAATGTGTGGCCGTTTCTCAATCGCGAGGATACTGGCTTGGTAGTCGCATACTTCCAAGTCACTTCCTTCAGAAACGAAGCAAGTATTCTTCCAAGACACGGCTTCGGAAAACAAAGAAGAATGGAAAAGGCTAACAAGTGTGCCACTCTCTCTAACGGTTTCAACATAAACTGTACCGAAAATAAACCTCACAATGTCTATCTAATTATGAACTTGCTTTACTTTCACGGAACACATTTTTGGTGATAACAAATGCAACAAAGTAACATATTTACCAACACATGTTCTACGCCACTACATACTTACATTTAAATGTGTGATGTGCTGCGTCGGTTCAGCCATTCTCCGCAAGGGTTTTTGAAATTGGTCCGTGCGCAAAGCATTGTGGGGATTTGAAGGACGCGAAGTCTACCCATGTGCAGCCTCGAAATTACCCCCAAACCAAGGACGTGGCCTCGGTGGAATTCCAAGTATGCTGGAGATTGGAACAGTCCTTCGGCGGCACTCGATGACGTAGTATCCTTGAAATATTGGCTTGGAAGCCAGTTTCCTCGCGATTGAGAAACGGCCTGTGTGTGTGTGTGTGTGTGTGTGTGTGTGTGAGAGAGNAGTATGTGTCTGTGTGTGTGTGTGTGTGTGTGTGTGTGTGTGTGTGTGTGTGTGTGTGTGTGTGTGTGTGTGTGTGTGTGTGTGTGTGTGTGAGAGAGTTAAAGTGCTCACCAACGGCCTTGCAGGTCTTAGAGGCAGGGTCCATTTCGTAGCCTTCGTAGCATTCACACTTATAATCTCCTTTGTAGTTGATGCAAATCTGACTGCAGGCATCCGGGTTCTCACATTCATCTATATCTGTGGAGAGACATGTGATGAATCTGATTTTAAAGATGTCCACTGCACAGATACATTGTCCGTGCTTGCTAATTTAGGACACCGGATTGTACGCTTTAACACCTTAACCAAATAAAACCATAGCACAACTGGCTAACATTTTGGGAAATAGCTTGTTTGTAAGCAAACCAACAGCACAGAGAGAAGATCGATACAAATTTGATCTGATTGAGATCAGGAATCCAGATGTGTTTGGTCGAGCTTAGCGCTGTGAAGCAGGGGAAACTGAAAACAAATCACTGTTGGGCAACTTTAAAGCTTTCCTATCTGCACTTTGTATATTATCTTGAGAGTATAATTTAATAAAAAATAACAGAAAATACTAAAAATCTGGCTTTGTGGTTTTAGAGACGGTAAGAACATATGAGTTTTTTTTTCTTTTTAATGTCGTTTTGCAGCAGTTTATCCCTTTTTCAAATTAAGTTCCATAATTTGTTCATTATTGGATAGATAAAATGACTTATTTTATTATGAAAGTATAATAATATGACTAACAGTAGAGTTTGCACCCTGTGAAATTGTCAAATAAAACTGGGGAGGGTGGACAAATAGCATGTAGATCACACCAGCCCAGACAAAGTATAATGTTACGTTAATGGTCTTCTGCATTAAGGTGGTCATTTCATTTCAAATCTCATCTTTTCTTTACCTCCACATGTCTTTTTGTCCATGAGTTTGTACCCAGAGGGGCAGTCGCACTCGTAACCAATTTTTCGGTCCCTGCAGATGTGAGAGCAGCCGCCGT